TGGAGTACTTCTCAGTCCCAACCTGTTTTTGGAAGAAAGCGAACAGGAAAAGAATGGGTGGAGTCACATTGAAGTCCTGATATCGCAATGGTGGGAAGAAAGAGGAGGAAGGGAGGAATATTTTAAACAGCTTTCAAGCTTAAAGTATTCAGTAGAACATTCACTGATAACAGTCCTCCTTGAAGTTTTAAAAATGGAAATGAGAGTGACATGGGGTCAGGACCACTGTGAGTGTGATTTGCCCTAACACTGATCCTTTAGCAATGACTTAACTCTCCCAAGTTATCGTCGAGTGTAAATGAATTGAAAAATAGACTAAAGCAATGATTTTGCAAATTTGGGACCTAGCTCATCTTCACCTCATTGGTTCCATTCCCTTCTCCTCTTTCCCCCTTATTTGTTTCAACTGCTCTTCTTTCTTGCTCAACTGTCTCTGCAGATTCAGGTCCTGCCACATGACCTTGGTCATCATGCACACTGACCTTGAGCCAGAGTCCAGCGTATATAGCCTGGTGGTTCTGACTTTTAGAAATGACAGAGTTTTCTAGTGCTGTTATAAAGCTTATCTGCTTATGTTATTTCTCAATATCAAGTCACAGTAGAAAAATAGAAATTCCTCTGCCTAACACAGGTAGGATTACACTTGGGAAAGTTGATGACTTAAGCAAAGATTTTCCACCTACAGTCAAGTGATTGATAGCTTATCCAGCTGCACGTAAAACCAGCATTTAAATCCTGCTTTGAATGGGTCTTATCACCTGCAACTTCCAAATAACTGTATATTTTCCCCCAAAGTAAAATGTAAAAGAATGACAACAAACATGTCTAAGTTGACTTTTTATTTTTCTCCTGTTCACAACCTGTAGAGCTTCTCACCTGTTTCTTTAATTGTTCTTTGTGGCTCTGTGTGGCAGGTTCCTCAGAGGGTCACCAGATTTAATTTGTGGCTTGCTCTCATGTTATCTTCTCACAGGTGGTAAAAGAAGTCCTTCCTTGTGGCTGTCATATGTACCAGTTTATTATCATACAGTTCTAATGATACAACTAGAAACAGTGGTTTTGTTTCTTAACTGTACTTTGGAATACTGGGAGAGTATTTTTGAGGCAAATAAAATGAAAATTTGTTTGTTTTACCATTTCCTGTTAAGTTCTCCTGTAATTTGATCCATATTTGAGTATCAAAAATTGCTTTCTAGTTAACTCGAGTTTTTAAAATGCTACGTATATACTCCTTAAGATATATATATATAACGTATACATATCACACAAACATGTATACTCTTTAACTATTTTTCTAAGTGTCTAAAGAATAGCATGCTATTTGAGTTATGCTACCCGCTAAACTGTGATAGCTTCTAACTAGTGCTCCTCCTCCTTTGGCTCCTGATAGCATGTTCTGCACAGAAGCCAGAGCAGTTATAAAAAGGAATTCAGATCACATCACTTTCCTGCTGTCACTGTCTGGTGATGTTCTACCGCAATACGATAGAATCCAAATGTTTTACGTGGTCTATACACTCCTACTCCTCTCTTCTCTCTCTCCACTACATTCTATTTCTGGATCAAGATCCTTCTGCCTCAGGATCCCTTCAGCATGGTCTTTCCCCTGCCTGAACCTCTCTTCCCCCACATCTTAATGTGGATAACATTTTCTATTCATTCAGGTTTTATGCTCAAATATTTCACAAGCACATACTTCATTGATCATCTTGGCCAAAGTAGCTGCCCCACCTGCACTCTTTATCCTATTACTTCACATTATTGTGTTTCTAGAAGTTACTGCTGGCTTAAGTGACCTGATATGCATTTGTAAAACTGTTTATTGGGTGGCATCCCACAGGAATGCAAGCTCCACGTCTGGTCCATATCCATCACTGCACTGTACCATAGGATCTAAAAACCTACGGGCATAGTCTAAGTGCTCACTCAGAGAATTATTTGGCAAATGGACAAATGAATGGATTTTTTTACTTTAAAGGCACTTTGTGTAAATTTGATGATTTGGCTCCAGCTTTTTTTATTTTGAAAAACTTTAATACTAATTGCCAGTACTGATTGGTACTTGAACAATATTGTTCATTTACCATTCCAAGTAGACATTCCCTTAGCAAGGAGTCATCTAGCTTTGATTAAAATATTTCCAGTGTTGAAAAGCTCGTTCCTTGTTTGTGCAGCATGTTCTAATGTTAGATAACTCTATTGTGTTTCCTTAAAATAGATCAAAATCTTCTTCCAAGTATGCTGAATCTTAGGGTTAGTTTTGTTCTAAGACATTATACAAAGTAAACCTTCCTTCTCTTCTACATAGAAGTATTGTAATCTTGATTCCATATTTGTCAGCTAAATTTCTTCTGTAAGCTGAGCTATTTCTTACATGACATGTTTGGTTTTGTTCTGTTTTGTTTGGTATAGGAGATCAAACTGAGGACCTTGTGCTTGCATGGCAGGCACAGTGCCACTGAGCTAAATCCTCGGCTGGCCCTCTTACATGACATTTTAATGATACCTTTCTGGGTTGTAATTAAAAAAGTTTGTTTCCTTGACACCTTTCTGGATGATTGCTTTTCTTTCTTTCTCTCTTTCTTTCCTCCTTTCTTTCTTTCTCTCTCTCTCTTTCTTTCTTTCTTTCGTTCTTTCTCCTTCTCCTCCTCTTTTTTCCCTTCCTTTCCTTCCTCCTTCCCTTGTGCTCCCCTTCACTCTGCTCCCTTCCCCCTTTCATTCTTCTTTCCCAATAGTGTCATTAAATTCTTCCAACCAAAGTGTAAACAATATAAATTCATCTGAGTATAGAATTAAAACAGAATCAGGAGTCAGAAAAATTATAAGGAAGTTGAACATTATGAACATTTCTTAGAAAAGAATAATCAGTATTCTTTGTTTAATTTATTCTTTCTTTTAATCATGCTGGCACTTTTCTGAATACAGGTTTGGGGGAAGGGAATCATATGGTCACTAGAGGCCTCCTTGTATGCCATCGACAAATAAAGATGGGGTTTGAAGTGAGATTTGCCTTCTGGATCTCGGTCAGCCTTCACTCTGAGAGAAGAGCTTCCTTGACTGTATGGTTTTACTACATTTTTCAACCTCAGATTCCAACAAATATGCATAACCACTGCTTACTCCTTGGTTCCTTCTCAACATCAGTAACAGCACAATATAAAAACTGGATTCATAATAAAAACAACGTGTTGATTCTCCATCAGACAGAAGGGCAACCAAATGCATAATCTTTCCTCTTTGGATTTCTCTGAAAGTACTCTGGCTGTGCACTTTGGATGGCATGCGAATCACTTGGTCATGGTGAAATGACTTGAATGCTTGCCAAGAAACCATTGAAGTCAAAGTAAACAAAACAAAACACTTAAAAAAAAAGAGGCCAAGAAAGGTTTTTTTCTCTCTTCCAAATGACCATGTTCCTTAATATCTATTTCTGAATAGCCAATTCTTTTTTGAAAACTAAATAAAATTCATGTGATTCTATTCTCTTGAGTGGTACTGATTATTTCATAGGAAGATTGGGGTTCTTAAGGGATGAGTGGTTCTCTGTAAGCAGTGTTTTCCTGACCTTGTGCTGACTGAACTTCTTCAGGCCTATGGCTTGGGAAATCCTTTGCTCTTGGCAGTGGGCAGAGAGAAACAGGATGGCTTCATAAGCTCAAGATGGTCATGATACCCACAGATGTATTTTCAATCTCTCAAGTTCTCACTGCCAACCTCATAATCAAAGCATGGAGTTGGACAGCGGTCTTTAATTCCACACATACCTCTCGACCAGCCTCTTGGACTAGGACAAGTGACTTCTTCTCTTGTCCAAAGCTGCTCTTAATCTCTACTTCAATCATAGAAAATTTTATAGGGGCAGTGATGGCAGATTGAATCTGAGAGAAGAGAGAGAGAAAGAGAGACAGAGATGGGGAGTGGATTTACCAGGTGATGATTCTGAGCATGTCATTGGACTAGTTTGACTGCAGACCACTTTTGTCTCTCCTAGTGATTACTTGTGGATATGATGGGCAGCTAGCATAGAACCCAGTCATCATGAGGTTGGAAATTTCAAATGTATTCAACAGTTTTTAAAAATCTCCAAAGTTATTCATTTAGGTACAATTGCAAGAAAAGAAAGATTTGAATACCAGACTCATCATTGATTTCTAGACATTTCTTGAATCTTGTTAAAGGTTGCAGAGGGATAATTTAATTGTTTTTAGTTTCCTTGGATGACCATGGTGATTGCTGGGAAAAAGGCGATGTTTCCCATGAATTGTCCTTGGTGGAGGGAAGACATAGGAGCAGTCTGTACAAGAGGATAAATGAGACAACGCTGATGCCACCTGAATATAAACATGTTGAAGAGACTGGAACCAGAATGCAAGGAGATGAGCTAGGAGAGTATTAGAGTCCAAGGGAATTATTGTATCATCTGCTTAATAGCACTCCAGGGAAAGGATGCATAATTGGCTAGAAGAGAAGCCAGAGCAGATTTGGTAATGTGTGGTCCATCTTCCTCACAACTGGAGAAAATTATTTCTAGATCCATGAGGTAGAGCTGGCAAATGTATGTTGGAGACTTTTTATTTTTCATTTCTGGGATGTCAACCACTTAGGATAAAAACCTAAAGCTCCTAAAGGCAATATAAGAAATCAAAGTAGATACACACATGTTCAAAATTAAATCTTTTAGCTAGAGAGGATGGATTTTTCCAGCAGACTCTTCTATTATTATTTCCTATGTAGAATTTGTTTCCTTCTGAAATGTTCCTGAAGAATCTCTATAGGGGAGAATGTAACAATGGGTAATAAAAGATGCAAGCATTGTGGAATTGGTGTTCTGCGGTCAAGATCTTTAAACTACAGTCTTTATCTAAATATCGAAGAGATAGTATAGTCTTTGTTGAGTAATTCAATAATGTTTTGTGTTCATTTTAGAGATAGTAGGCTGGAAAGCACATACTGGAGTGAAAACAGAAACAAACTTTTCATTATGTGATTTCTCCTTCCAGGATCATGGAGACCACCGATAATGGGAGTCAGCTTGTGAGAGAAAGACAGAAGGGGGAGATCTCACAGCTTTTCTTCCTCTGGCTGCAAAATGGCAGAATCTGGTGAGCGTTCCTCTGTCTTTGTCTCCTCAATTCTTTGCTAGGAGTTCAGGTAGTCCTGTCTGTGTCTTTCATGAGTCATGTTCTGTCCTTTGTCCGTATGGCTACCTGGGTGTCTCCATTCATCTGTCTATGATAGATGAAGTAGCTGTGGCTCCAAATCCCAGCTCTGTCACTTACACATTGTGCAGGGTTAAGTGTGTCATTTTTCTTGGTCCACTGTTAGGCAGAAAAACCAAGCCACAGGTAAAATTGCATGCATCACATTTTAATGGGAGGTGCCGTCCAAAAGAGGCAACAATGAAGGAATGAGAGGGTGAGGCAGGCAGCACAGGAGGAAGAGCAAATAGACAGGGGTGTGTCCCCAAGTTGGCTGCAGTGATTGGCCATTGATTGCTCAGTCTTTAGAGAGACCATGGGAATTACTATGCCTCAGAACAGCCTGTCCAGGGAAATAATGGTGAACATTTTAGAGCCTTCAGTGATACAAATAGCCTACTGTGGCACAGGTGCCATAAGATTGCCACCACTGGCCTAGGGAGGAGGACAGAAGGATTTATCTACCAGCTGCCATTTCCCACTGGTCAAAATTTGCACCCCATCTCCCCTCCATTCTGGGATTCAAGACCTGGTCCTCCTACAGACCCTGTGGAAAACTGAACCTAAGTGAATGGCCTCCTCCACAGCATGAGCCACAGCATGCAGGTCACACAACCATTAGGAGCAAGCCAGGGCCCTCCTTGCTGGCTTTCCTGCATGGTGTAGAGCCAGGATGAACCAGTGCCCGTGTGGACACCAAGTGAGTTTGGGGCCAAACACCACACACACACACACACACAGACACACGGACTAAAGCAAAGCCTTTGGCAAGATGCAGAGGCTTTAGGCATGAGGTGTGAGGAAAGAAGCTTCTGGTTATATCCACAAATTGCATCAGATTCGAGGAGCTGCTGCTGTTGCAGGACTTGCTAGCTCAGACGCAGGATGCAGACTTCCACCATGACATCAGAGATGCACCTTCCTTCAGCAAGGACCAAGTCCTCCTGTTGTGGCCTAGATGTGCTTGGTGCTGGGCACTCTTCCTGAAGGATCATCAGTAGCCGGAAATGACAGCTGGGTGAACCCAGGAAGGGATGGGACAAAGTTGGACCTGGCACATGGCTCATCCTTTCTAAACCTCAGTTTCTTTACAAGTAGTGAGCTACAGCTATTGCTCTCTTCTCTTCTTCCCCATTACATACCTTCTCTCAGTAGCATTCTTTCTCCAGCTGCATGCCTTGCCCAGTGCAAAGTGTGGGTACTTACCCTTGGAATCACCTCTTTCACCAGGCTTTTTAAATTGCTTCGCTGTTAATATTCAAGAATTCTAAAATCCCACCCTCTTATATCATGCCTTCATTAACAGAATGGCAGTTACTCTTCCGTATTCCTCACATTCCAAGCAAAATTTCTGAGCATGTTACTTAGGTTCTCCTGATGGTTTGTTTGTGGCCCTGGCAATGATTGTATCTGGAATGATCTTCTGAACTATCATGGATATTGATACTGCCAGTATTATCTCATGGAAACCAGAGAATGTTTAATGACTCTTAATCATGGCAGCAGGGTTCTCTACATAGGGGGAAAGTTAACACAGTTTCTGGTAGTTACAATAAGGCGAAAGGAACACTCTTCGCTGCTACTGTTTTCCTTTCTCTCTATTTGCTGCTATTCATGAATGTCTCTTTATTTCTTCTGACCCTCTTGCTATGAGGGATGTCTTTTTGCTTAATCTCATGGTTTGAGGCTCCTTAATAAAAGAACAAGATACCCTGCAATAGAAAAATGATATACTTTATACTCTTCACCTCCAAATCCATAGGGACTTGGATTAAACAAATTAGGGTTTAGTTTGGCTCTTGGGGACTAGAACTGGGTAGAGAGGGGAAGTTACCAGCAAGAGTGAGAAAAGTCAGAGGGTACTTTTGATCCACCATCTTGGGGAGTATGGAGACTTTAAACACTAGCACACTCAAATGCTGCCCTTAAATTCTAGGGCCACCTTTAGGTTGGTGGTTGGAAGGCAAAGTCAAGAGCTAGGAGCTGGGTATACCAAGTGATGTCAGGTCAGGAGCAACAGAAGAAAGTTAGGAACAATAGTAAGACTGAAGCTGGAGTGTGGAACTTGCCTTTAATTGGTCATCAGCTGGAGGAAGTCAGCTTGCTGAGCAATTCAATAATGTTTTGTCTCCATTTTAGAGGTTGGGAGGTGGTAAAATAGATTAAAAGTACAGCAGGGGTGGCGTAGGTCAGATGTATGGCCAGATTGGCCATATGGAAGGGACCTTTGGACAAGGAGCACATCTGCTCTCATATCTCTAGCTATGCACACCACTGAAGTGGACAAGGTACACAACCAGTTTGATCAAGGAAATTCAATGGCAGCAGGTGAATTTACTCTCTCACCTTAGCTTCTGCTCTGTTGGGTGATATGCCCATTTCACATTTGTGACTTTGCATTTACTACCCAATCTGTACACACACCTTGGCCTGCTCTCTCCATAGGCAAAAAGCCAAAGAACCCTGGTTTCACACTCTATTTCAGAGAATTTCATGCTCCCTTGGGTAGGAAACCTCCTTTTCTTGTTTCCAATACGGTAATTTTTCAGCTCAAAGGCTGGGTAGGGAAGTGCTATTTGGCTAATGTCAAATTTGCTCTGAACTTTGGCAGCTTTGATGTTTGTGTTGTGGAAACTGCAGCTCTTCCCATGGTTTGGATATTTCACATCTACACATTACATTCAGAAAGCCAGAGTTCAGGCTCATGGAAAAAAATAGCTAAATTGATGACTAATTTGACATCAGAAGCTTCCAACCAGAGAAGTAGTGTGCTACACCCTACCTCTGGCCCCCACCCTTTGCTTGGAGAGAGGAAATTTTCAAGTGTCTCCTTGAGAGAGGGTGAAGAAACTGCAGAATGGAGGTGCAGCTGCAGGAACCCATGTGGAACACAGTCCACTCAGAACCCAGGCAGCTTGATATTACCATGCACAGGGCACTGCAAGCCAAGGTTGCAGAGTGACAGCCACTTGTCACAGCAAAGAGGATTGTTTGGGAGAAGAACAGGATTTTTTTCCTTAATATATCCTTATTAGAAGGTCACAACCCATTTTCTTATTGTCCATATTTTTAGTTTTACACCATAAGGAAAAATTTCTATCTCACTCTCCCCGACTCCTTTACCAGAACATATCCAAATGTCCATGTTTAAAATGAAAGGCTTTTGTTTTCTTGGCTGAATATCAAGATTTTTCCAGATTGTCAACTCAGTAAGAGGGGAGAAGCATAAAACCCAGCTGTAGAAACCCAGAAGTGACCTAACATGATCCAGGTGTTTCTAGTTTTCTTAGGAAAGGAGGCGAATCTATATGCAATGCCCGATCGACCATGTCTGAAGGACACTGCCTGATAGCATTAGGGGCTGATCGCAGTTTTGATAGTGGGTTGTAAGTGAGCACTATGCAATAGCTATATCTGATTTGTCAAAATTGGTTTTGTAGTGCTATTATGAAAGTTGGTGACCTTGCATTTATCTTACTTCCATCTTGTTCCATGCACATAAAAAGGATTTTAAAGCAGTAAACTTGTAAAGACAACATGGTGGTACAGAAAATGCAGGGAGACAATGCAGAAGGGAAATGGGTTTAGCCTCAGTTCTACCACTTGCTAGCCATGTGTCTGTGGCAAGTCTTCCATCTCTGTGATTCTTATTTTTTGTAAATCCATAAAAGAAAGTATAGGAATGTCTGCTCTTAATGCCTTACCATAAAATTAAAGCATAGGAATGTCTACTCTTAATGCTCTACCATAAAATTAAAGCATTGTGTTGAGACTGATTTATATGAATAATGTGAGCAAAGCTAGAGATACATGTGCATTTAGTGTCTGCAGACTTGCCGGTTAAGTCTGTAGTAACATTCTGACCCCCCATTCATTGACTGGATATAGTCTACCATATTTTTAGGTTGTATTGTTTAGTGAGTTAAAACTGAACTAGTTTGGCAGAATAAAGCAATTTCCTAGAATCAATACCAAGCCACCTGCCAAAATCACATCTACTCTCAAATACCATGTACTTCTCAAAGCACTACCATACCTTCGAACCCAGAACGACTTCCTAGTTCTTTTAACCCGGAATGACTCTCTTTCAGACCCTGTGCTTTTCCAGTGCTGATCATTCCTGTGGCTGCTTGCATGTGAAGTGACGGCTATGGATTATGGCCGGCCTGTGAACATGTCTGTCTTCTCCCAAGGATGGGACCTAGTTTTAGTTGGCTTTGTTTCTTCTGTAGAGTAAGCATTGGGGAAAATGGTAGGGGCTGCAAGGAGCACCTGGTTTTGATGGAGGATGGCATAGGGAGAGGAAATCAAGGAAGAGTAGAGAACTGGGCTTAGTGAATGTTTTGCTACTGTATTGTTGTAAGCAGCCTCAGATATGACACTGAATTCCCTGGGGCTTTGCTGCCTCCTCTTTATAAGGGGGCAATAGGATGAGCTGGCTTTTATGCTCCCCACAGCACTGTTCCTGACATTTCCTGCTTTATGCCATTTTCATCTGAAGTAAGATGCTAAGAAGAATGTCAAGTAAACCAGAAAAAGTTCAAAAATGAGTATCACTTATGTGAGTGATTCCAAGGTAATGAGCATCTATTCTATTTTGAGTGTTAAGGATGGTAAGGATTATTTTATATAAACATGGAATTCAGAAAAAGGAATTTATTAAAATGTATCTGTGCATGTCTCAGAAGATGATTTAAAATTAAAAACCAGCCCAAGAGAAATAATCCACTTAGACTATTGTGGAGATTGCAAAGCACATTATATGAAAAATAAATATAGATTCCAATTTTTAGTCTTTGAATTTTGGTGATTATTATTATTATTATTATTGAAATTTCATCACATTCTTTCTTCATATTTTCATATCAGAACAGTTTGGAGTTATCCCTGAAGAGAAATATCTTAAAATAGTATTATATGAAATGTATTTTGATTATGTAAAAGGCTAGAACTATTTCACATGTGTTGAGCTAGTTTCAGTTCCAAGTGGCAGAGCCTTTTCTTGCAGAGTTAGACCAGAGTTGGCAGGTACCTAATTGTACTCTAGGGTAGGGCAGTCTGCACCAGATTATTTTATTACCGGGTCCTTTGTAAGTTGTTAAGACCATTATGATATGAACTTGCATGATGTTGGTTTATACACATATAAACTTTTCAGTTCTCTCTGTATTGATGGTACCAAACCCACAACATGAATTTAGTGACCCGTCAACTCTGCAATCTATTTTTATTAAGATTGACTTTCCCTCTATCTTCTCGGGGACCAAGAAAGAAATGTAATAAATTTCAAGGCAAGGCTCTTTTTTTCTTGTCTCTTAAATGCAGTGGAATATTTACCAGATGAAGTCACTCCTTAAAGAAACGAACTATTTCCATTGTCCAGTTGTTCAAGTAAATGTAAAGCAGAGAGCATCTTTGATAGCTTTGTTAATGTAACGCTTTTATTTTTTCCCAGCTGGTAATTCAGGTATAATTGAGGGCTAGTGTTGAGCTTTAAATATGTTCTTAAGACTTGCAAGGAAGCTTGGTGAGGCGTGTATTGGAGCATAACCTCTCAATTATTCACACATATCTAGGACTGTAATCACCAGGGTCTCTTGTTGTAAACGTTATGAACACTTTTATAACCAGACATTGATATAAGCTAATAGATGGTGAATTACAACTCAAATGATGAAACTACAACTAGCAATAAGAGTCTGGTCAGGGTCATCAATCATAATTAACATCATTGTGTAGTTCTAAAGTTTCTGATGTTGTATTTCGGTATTAACTAATTTCTAAAAGTTCAACTTGTAAAGGCAGACATGCTTGAGAATAATGCTGGAACCCCAAAACTGCTCACTGCCTTAGGAACACAGCCTTTTTTGTGTCTTCCTATTTTAGACTTAAGTTACTTAGAAGTTCTCTGCCTAGCATACAGCATGATCTAATGGCTGTTTTTAGATTCTAACATAGAATTCTGCTAGTAACCAAAAAAGAAAAATCATGCAAAAATGTGATTAGTAACCTTTACTTTGTCCTTTCTTCCCTTCCTGCCTATCAATAATTAATTGAGTCATTCAAGAAATGTTAATTGAGTCAACCTGTGCCAAGCACTGCACTGCATTCTGGGGAAACAATTCGAGCATGTAATCCCACTGCCTTGCAGAACTTGGGTTCCAATGCTATCAGGGAAATTCTAAGATATTCTCAACTTAGCTTATCCTGAACATAATTTGTAGGTAATTAAAAAGAAAAGAGCAATGGGTTGACATGTATTGTGTTAGAATAAGTCTGGGTGACCCATGTTCTTTTCTTTCACTGGTAGTTTGACAGTAGGGTTGTGAGCTAGAAGACTGCTGTTTAGTGTGTTTCTTTATGCCCATGTGCCCATTCTCCATGATGAATGCAATCATTATGTACTGCAAAAAAAATTTTTTTTGGTACCGGAGGTCAAACTTGGGACCTTCCGCTTGCAAGGCAGGTGGTGGCACCACTGAGCTAAATCCCCAGCCCTTAAAAAAAATTTTTTTAAAGATATAGTTGGGAGATGGCTGAAAAATAAGGGACTAGCCAATTACTTAAAGCAATACTTTTAAAGAAAAACTACAGAAAGTCTTGCTGTGCAGTTTTTCTACTTGTCAAAAGCTCTTGGGAGGAGCAGCAACAGAATTATCAATTGATAGCTTAAATGGCCCAGGGAGATATATGTATAGCTTCTGCCATGGAATGAAAACCATATACAGTACAGTTTATTATACATCTAGTTAAAGCATGCATAATTACGGTAACAAATAACCAACAAGAGCATAACCAGGTTTGGACATTCTTTTCTTCTTTCCTCTTCCCTCCCTCCCTCCCCTTCTTGTAGTACTGGGGATGGAACTCAGGGCCTTCACACTGAGCTCCAGCCCCAGGCCTTCTTCTTTAATTTTTTATTTTAAGTTGCTAAGTTTCTTAGCCTGGGCTCAAACTTGTGTTCTTCCCACCTCAACCACCCAGAGTGCTGGGATTACAGGCTGTCATACCTGGTTTTGAATATTCTTTTACAAATTCCTTCTTACTATGGAAGGTTGAAAACCCCAGACTGAGGATGGCTAATGAAAGACTGATACTGATGCTGCAAATAGTAGCTGATACTCTGTTTCCTGACTTTGAGATTCTGTTTGGGTTTCTGTTGGTTGCTGATCCTCTTCTATATCATTCTTACTCTTTTCTGAAATATTCTGCCACAGTCCTTTCCACCTGTTATAGCTCTGAGAGTATTTGCTCCACATTTCTTTGAAGTATGGTTTTGCTCTTTTGCTATCTAGTTTAGCCAATTTTATTTCCAAGGGTACCTTCCTCCAACCACTTCTGTCTGAAGAATGCTTGTCTCTAGTTACTTATTAGCAGGGAATGCATTCCTTTTTTTCTGTGCACTCCTAAAATCCAAGGGTTTTATTTGTTTTAATAAAAGATACAAGGGAGAAGACTTTTTCTTCTGAATTGTTTCCAGATTGAAGTGCAAATGGAGGCCCCTAATGATTGGAAAGACAGCCACCATCCCATGTCTTGTATCTGCTCTGGTGTCCTTGCTGAGAGCAGTGGCTCACTGGTGCCATGGTTGGCTGTTTTCATGCCTGCTGTGTTGTGAGCTGGCTTGGCCACCTTCCCTTTTGGACCTACTGAGTCAATGACTCTATTTTCCAGCAATACCAGAGCAGATTTCTGGGACACACATGATCCCAGGATGGCCTGCCCACAGAGTTGCTGATGGTACCTGAGTGAAAAAGAGGCGATATTCTCTCTTTGCTGTGGTGTTAGAATTTAGAATAGGGAAATTCAGAGAAGGGGAGGTTAGTTTCGGAAAGTGACTCTGGAGACTGCCAGGTAGGCTTGGAGCCAGGGCAGTAATTGCAGGCTGAAATCATGAGAATGTGGACAAAGAGAACGGGAGCAAATAAAGTAGATATGTAGTGAGAATTTGTGAGTAGGTGGTCAGTGCAGTCTCTGAGGGAAAGGGAGAAAGACACCCCCCCACACACACACGTTCATAAGCAGATTCATAACAAAAACCTGGCTGCTTGGTTTTGTAACTTGTTTACCCTTGTCTCTTACCTTGGGACAACCTGAATAGTCTTTTTCTGCCCTCATGACTAAGTGAGTCTTGAAAATATCAGCGAAGTTTGATGAACTTTGGCTGACTATTGTGCTGCTACGATTAATTGTATTGTACCAATTAAAGGAGTTAATGAAAAGTTAGCTAATAGTATCGTTGCCCTCTTACTACCATTTCCCAGGCATCAAGATTTCTTTCAAATGCTTTGACATTAGAATGCAGTTAAAAACCACCATAAATTGATTTCTCCCTTGTTACCAAATTCTTCAAAAACCCAGATACTATCACTATTGGAACTCAAAGGTCCATATTGTTTTTATTATTTTATCTTTATTATTTTATTTTAATAATGCTTTTTGGAACTAGTAAGTTGTTATGATGTATCATATAACAGTTGGCTGTGATGCAGTTTTATACCAAATACATGGGTTGGAAACCACCAGTCACTTGTGTTTCAATGTCATACCTAGTGTGCGAGACGTCATTCAGTTATTCTTGGTATGGAATGCCACGCTCCGATGGTGGCTATCTTCTTGGGTTAGAGGAAAAGAAATATGTTTGAGAGTGTTTACATGTATAAACATCTTATTGTTCATTTGTGTCATTGCTTCTCTGAGGAATATGGTTTGGCAATGGGTGTAACGAAGTTTTCATTTTGGCAAGTGTCGAGTATCACTCCTAAGTAAAGCAGGTCTCCCCAAACAAGTTGCTATATAAAATTTAAAGCATCTGTGTTCACTCCCATGTTTTTCTTACATAGCGTGCTTCTCTTCTTTTATTGGCTGGCCACGCATTTGTCATTGTTGTTCTTTCCTTCTTTGGTGCTCCCCTCAGTTGCCCTGGTAATAGTGGATGACTCAGTTAGGAGTGGAACATAACGCTATCTGTAAGCTAAGATAAATCTTCTAGGAACATAGTGCCTGTGGTCCAGCGGGGGACAGGCATTCCTGTGGGTTACTAATACTTATGTGTTAGGTCTATATTGTTGTCTATTTCCTCTTGGAGCCCTCCACCTAGACACACACACACACACACACACACACAATTACCCTAATATTAACTGAGTTGGAAACTGAGTTTTGTGTTTAGTCAATGGGAAGGGAAAAGCTCCTGAAGTAGGATAATTCCCATGGTAATTTTTTTCCTTGATATTTTTTCACTATGGTAGGTAGGCAGGCATACTGGATTTGGTGCTAGAGGCAGCCGTCGTACAGTGCTGAGATATTGCTTGAGTCACTAGCACCGTGGGAGTGCCATGAAAGGGTCCATGACCTAGAGCCCATCTTGCTTTAATAATGGCTTAACACTCGTAAAAGATTTTTAATGGCTGCACGAGGCATATTTAAATATTAAACGCCATTCCTCTTTGTTGATTCACAGACCCCAATGAATAGGACTCTGTCGCTTCCAAAGTTGGAGAAATGTGCCTGCTTTCTCACGCTAGTAAGTGAACCAAACAAACGCATGAACGGAAACACCTCAACTCTGCCCTGCTGACCCGTTTGCAAACCTGAGAACTACAGACCTCTTGCTCTTCTTGGCTGCCTGGAGCTCTCTGACTCGAAAACAAAATTTTAATGTGTTTGATACCCGTTTCTAATCTTGTGCTGGGAGAATTAAGAAAATATGGCCACATACATGTAATGAGGCTTTTGCTCTGAACACAGCTTTTGGCTTTCATCATAGTTTAATTCATTTGCTTTGGTCTTTCATTCACAGCATCACTCTACTTAAAGGAGCATCCTGTTCTGATGTTTAAATTTGGACAGACCAATGTTGGCTAGTTCATGGTATATTTAGATTTCAGGAAGGACTCAATGCTGACACCATGACTATTTGCCCAAGCCCTTGTCATAGAGTGTAACATTCCATGAGAACGGATGCTGCTTGTTTAATCAGCCACCCCAGCACCTGGTACCTTATTGCCTAATTGTAGAAAAGTCCTGTGTGGAGGACAGGACCCAAAAGAATTGTATTTACATTCCTTTCTTTCCTTATGCTGTAGATAGCAGGCTGATTTTAGAGATGCTTTTATTTACAGAAGGGAAAATTGAATTAGAGAGGTCCTATCCTGTTGCAAGTAGAGCTGCTTTGGGGGGAAACAGGTATTCTCAAGTATCCTCCACTACAGAGCTAGGATGTGTGAGCCCAGAAGCACTTGGGGTTTGGCAAGTTTTTGTAGTATTTTTGAAATATTTGGGGTTCAGCAGAGCACAAATGTATTTTGCTCAAAGCACCATTTCCATTTAATTTTCTCAAACCATGTACATTGAGGGAAATTTAATCTGCGTATTTTGGAATCATTTAACTCTTATACATCAAAATATTGCATGGTAAACACTAGATCTGGATTCAACAAACCTCTGGAGTGCTTTGGTGTTTTTGGGTTTTTTTGTTGTTGTGGTTATTTTCCCCCTTTGAATATGAGAATGAAAGTTTACTTTGCATGAATCCAGAGTAGTACCTACTTCTCAAGTAGAAGCCTACTTCTCAAGTTATCCTAGCCACTGTGGGGAGATTTACATGTGTCTAGTATAAAACAGTGCTGGGGACAAGGCTTTTGGGGGGCAAGTCTCTCAGGAACAAGCCTTGCCCATTTAAGGGATTTTCCATGAAGGCTTCCAAGCACCCCATTTGGCTTAGGCAGGATTCAATCTCTTTTGATGCAGCCACAGCCCAAAGTTAATTCCAGCCCACAAGTCAATCCTAGGTCCAGATGTTTCTGAACCTTATAATCCTGTCTTTGTTTAAAATTAATTTTTTGCTCATCATGGGGCTTTAAGCATTAGTTTTTATGGTAAAGCAGTACATTGAAATCTTATTTATCTTGATTATTGAGGTTTTTGGCATGTTAAGTTTTGTGCCTAAGCAAGTGTCCTGGTGGCCTCACACTTGGGTCCCCTGTCCTCTTTACTCCTGGGTGGGGCATGGGGGCTGAGAACTTCTGCTCTAGTTCAGGTGTGACTTTTGGCTCAGCAGAGCTTTCTTTTCTTGGGCTCAGGTGCCCCATACCCAGTGTGTCTCCTTGTGTGCTTCTTATCCCATGTGTCTCAGAGTTAGTGCTGAGGCCACAATTTGTGAGTTTTTTTCTTGTCACAAACTTACCTGTATGCTGCAGGATAAGAATAAAAATACTCATTTCTAAGACATAACTTTGTTCCATCAAAATGATTATTTTATTTTAATCTCATACAGATTAGAAACAAGAAACATCTCATTCACTCTATTATTCATCCCAGTGGTACCCAAGTGTGGATTTTAAACCAAAGGAAGTGGAAGACATTGCTTGAGGTCACACAGAGCCTTGTCATGATCAGCTTTAAATTCAAGTCCTTGACCAGGGATTTAGCTCAGTGGTGCTGCGCCTGCATTGCAAGTGCAAGGTCCTGAGTTTGATCCCCAGTACTGGAAAAAAAGGCCTTTATGTTCACAGTTCAAGGCTTACTTATAATAGCTATTGCAAGCAATGACTGAATAGCGCCAGAACCTACCTTGAACATCTTCTTCACTACACTGTCATTTAATCCTTACAACAGCCTCATGTTGGAACTATTATGCTTATTTTACAGATTCAAAAATAGGCTTAAAGATGGCAATGTCTCCAAGATTACTCAGCCAGGCAGTAGTGGAACCCAGTACTTTCTAACTCAAAGATATGCTTCTTCTCCATTGTTCTGCATACCTCCTGCCCCACGGTACACATATCGGGAGAAAGTCAGTTTCCATCTTTTATGGAGCATGCTGATAAGAATGTCTTCCACATTAAGACAAAGAAGGAAGAAAATGCAATAATGCTTTCATTAAAATTTTGGCCTCTGTGTCTGTTCAGATTATAATGAAAAAAGTCCTCGGCATCTAAATCAAAGCGCAGCCAGGTTCGTTTCCTTTCCCATGTCTCAGGCTTCATAACGCTTTTCTTCTAGGGTTCAGAAGCCAATGTTCATCAGAACAGCTGCCCCTGCTCTGGTTTCTGCAAGTGTAGATGGAGTAGGACAGATAGCAACGTACTGTAAATGTTTTGGGATGAGTTGATGGATAGGAAGCGCTAAAGAATTCACATTCATTTGGCAATGACAAGAATGTCTGTCTGCTATCCTTAAACCTTGGACCTAGACCTACAGAGCATTCTTTGCTGGCCCCTGTTCTGATCACGCTGAGCACTCTGTGAGGAATTCCTGGCAGATCTGCCCAGTCATTCTCCCCTGGGCAGGCTTTTCACCTGGCCTCCAAAGCTCCATTAAGAACTCTCCCTAGATAACTACTTCACCCAATGCTCAGGTCTATGGATTTGACCTGTTTCTTGGACATCTGATCTATACAACATGGTGCCATGGGCACTGCCAAGTCCTGCCCTGACCTTGGAAGGTTCAAGCAAGGCAGCTTTTTAGGAGGAGCTCTTAGCTAAGGAGGCAGCTTGATGGGCTGAGACTCAAAGCTCTGGGGCCTGTGTCCAGGACTAGTTATATAAGAGAACTTCCAAGAGAGGATAGGACATAGTTTTCAACAAATAAATAAGGCAAAAAGGCTGCTCTCACTAGTGCCACAGCTGGGAAGCAACTATGAGCAATGAATTTCTCATGCTAACAAATCCAAACTCTTTGGAAAACAGATGCTGAGCTCTGGGACTGGCACTGGATCAGAGATGGAAGGGTATCTAGAGACCATTTGTTCATAAACACAGCTGAGGGCCAGCAACCTGCTTTCCTGCCCTGCCTGACGGCTCCCTTCCATGCAGCATTTCCAGGAGGAAGGAAACAGACATGCAAGGCTTCTGCAGCCCACGCTCTAGAGAAATAATTAAACAGTTTTTCTTAACCTCTTGAACTTTTCATTTATTATTGCCATCCATTATGTCTACCTTCTCAAATCACAGAATCCCAAAACTGAGCTCCGGGGTCAAAGGTTTATTGTTTAATGGAGATAGAACATTTTGTAAATTGCACGAAGTCACAATGTTTATAATAGTAGCTTCTGGTGTACTGACTCTTTTCCATTTAACAAACAGTGAGCTTTGACATGTGTTCTTCCTACATAGCAAGAAATCTGGGGTAAGTGCAGTACTGGCATGAATGCGTTACCAAATCCTTCCTGTAAACCAAGTGACATCTGCAGTCAAATAAAAACATTCCTTCCCCCAAATACCAGGAAATGCTAAAAGTATCACTATTCTTCTAAGGTCATGCTAAACTGAAGTTTTGGCTTTTAGAACACAGAGTAAGGATGAAGAAGGCCAACGTTTTTGTCCAATACACATTTGTTGCTACAAGTCCTTGGGGGAAACCTCTTGTTTCAAATGTGAACATGTGTATGGAGAATTTTTCCTTGGATTCAACCTTTGAATGAAAAGTGTAAATATTTTAAGAAAACATACTAATGTTAAAAAATATTCCTGTTGTCTTTGTTTTTACTAGAATTTGTACTTTCAAGTCAGAGACAGATTTGCTTGAAATAAAGCAAACATCCCCCAAAACGTACTCAGCCAAAATAACCAATGTATAAATACCTAAGATTAACAAAATATGAATATTCCTTAGCTAAGAAACTTAACCAGGAATTTTAAGTCCTTGGGACATGATAAAAAAGAATGCCTTAAAACTAAAATTTTTAACCCTTTATGTTGGAGGTCTAATCAATATTTTTAAAGGAAACAAATGTTCATGTAATATTCTCTTATATTTCTTTTTCAGACTTTATTGAGTTAAAGCTACATACATTCTTTTGGGCCATAAGTCTAGTTGATGAAAACCATTGTAAAAGGTGACTTTTCCATGAGTAATTAGCATAACTATTTTCTTGAGTCTTAATAATTGGTTCATAGTACAGAATGTACTTTTGGCTTACTTTTCTGAGATAACAATATGTACAGTGTTTACATTTTATATTAATAGTGATTCAGGCAGGTTTCCCTGCAAAGGTCCTCCCCCTCATAAGCTGCTCACTCCATTCTTCTCACTGTCTAAGTTTCTAAAAGAATTTTATAGTATTTAATATTTGTTTCAATGTGCTCATTTGCTTTCTATGGCTCCCATTGCTGGAACTCAGTCTGGTCATTTATGATTAGCCAGCAGGTGTCACTGTGGGTTTGGGTGGTAACTCAGTTGACCATAGAAAAGAATGACTGATGAGAGGGAGTAAGTGGAGAAAAGGGAAATATAAAAGCAGGTTCTTAGAGAAAGAGAACAAACTAATTAAAAATATCTTGTTTTCACCCCCCTTTTCATTAGGATCTCAGAATTTTTGTAGCACCTTCTCAGCTCCTGTAAGTCCAGAAATGAACTCATATGAGATCTGTCAATGCTGTATTAGTGATGGAAGGAAACTTCACTATATAAAATAGCAAAAGAAATGGGCAAAGCTGAGAAGTGGATTCTCCTAGCCTGTTCCTAATGGCTGAAGCCCCATCCCTGTGCTCTGTAGCTATTCATCTTCTTGAACCATACACGCCTTTGCTTAACCACAAAAATATGCAGCATCTTCCAGTTACTGGTAGGCCATAAACTCATGGCCCAGAAAAAGATTTTGGCTATCCTCAATCTCAGTGATAAAATAAATTCTATTTCATTTCTTGAAGGAGCATCTTGACCTGGAAGTTTTTTCCTTATACCTCCCAAAGATCTGTATGGCTTCTTTTCAATAAGGCTAACTTATGATAAATCTATCTATCTATCTATCTATCTATCTATCTATCTATCTATCATATATATATTCCCTAGTGCATGGGATTTCTTAATAAATAAAATTTTCAATTGGTAAAATTAACACATATTTCTTGAACAACTGTCAATTTTAAAAATGGATGGCCATAAAAATTCCCTGCACATAGAGGAATTCACAGCTGGCCTAATTTGAATAACAGGCTGTAAATTGATTTCTTCTTTGGCTTGATATGTGAAAACAATGTCCATATTGTTGGTGCAGAGAGCAGGGAATTTGTTAAGAAAAGATACATGGCTTGATTTCTCCAAATAAGGCTTAACATGTTTAAAACCTAGTTTAGTCAAGTTCTGAGAAAAAAAAGCAGAGAAGGGTTTTAAAGAAAAATAGAAATACTTCTACATTCTCTGTCTGTCCAGTCTCTACTCTTGTCACTTGTTGCACACCAAGGATCAGCATTTCATCTGGAGATCATAGCCCCTTGTTGCTAGAGGCTGAACCCAAGAGAGTGAAAAACAGAAACAATTTCAGCTTGTGAACATCCTGCAGTTTCTGATTTTGATTCTTTCACCTTTGTATACATTAAATTCTCTAATGACACAATGGCTTATTTTAGTACTGATTCTAATTTTAAAAATAAAATTATGAAGTTCAGAAGAAAGAAATGAATTACATTTTCAGGTTTCAAAACAGAAAATTGATCTACAAATTATGAATACTTAGTTACAATCATTACAACCTATAAGTTGTCTCTTCATGAAGATAAGTAGGTGCAGTGGGCTGATTTGACTCCATGGAAGATACAGTAATCAAAAAGATGGCATATAACTCGTAGTAAAAGTTCTTTGGAAAAGCCATGGATTTATATCATATATGTCCCTTTCCCAATTCCCGAGAAGCCATTTCATTTGTACCTAAGAGTGTGTCATTGATGTAACATCATTTACTCTGGTGTCCAGAGATTAAGATTCGCTTTTGGTTAGGCTTTCTGGCAGAACATGTAGGAATCATAGCAACAGGCACTATAAGCACAAGCAGCTGAAGGGCGTGGGGTGGGGTAAGTAGAAAAAGAAGGAAGAAGGGCGTTAAGGTATGAAAATATTTATCCAGGGTAACAGAGCATCAGCAACATTTTCTTTTCAATTACATATATACATCTGTGAGAAATGGAATTCTTGGCCATTGGTTTATCCTTTGGAATAACCATTTCCATGACAACTTCTTAGACTGTTAAAAATAATAGTGCTCACAATTTCCTCTGAGCCACTCTGCCCTTTGTCTATTGTGACTGCTATTTGGCCCTGATCACATAGGTTTGGGCGGTTAGTTTCTGTATAAGTTTGTGTGTACACATACTTGTGTATCTTCCCAATTGGAGTCTAATTTCTCTGGGACAAGAATGGCATGTTATATATCTCTTATGAATTAAAACTGCTGTCTTACTGCAAAGCATTGGTGGGAGTTCAATGAATCTTTGTTGAATGAATGAAAATTACAAAGGATACTTTTGTTTGGCAAGCATTGGTAATGCTAGATTACTTTTATGTAGTTCATATAAATAATTCACTTCTTGTGGTTCCATATCCTGATGTGAAAATTATGCATTTACTATGTTTTCATAGATATTAATGGGGGCTTTTAAAGAGAGAAATTGTTTCTAGGTTGGTGGTCTTAGGCCTGGTATTGAATGAAAAAGACTTGAAGTAAATTTTAATTGTGAAAAGAATAAAACTGGAGGCATTAGTC